GTGCTGACAAGGCAATTTGCCCAATTCCCTCATCAGAATGACCAAGACACAACAGACATAACAGTGGTTAAGGTACTATTTATATTATAAAAATTGGTATGTCTATAGAAGTGGTTTATACCATCAGTCTGATTTATTTCAAATTTTGTTTTATAAGAAATGGATGTGAAAGGCTATAATTATGGACAATTAAATTAATATTACTTTTTGATCCTATATACACAAGCCAATTACTGTATACATTCATATGGATCCTACCAATTGCTTGATGTATAATAAAACTAAAAGCCTTTTTGAGTGGAGTTAAATTCTACCACCAGTTTGCCATCTGAACCTAGATATTCAATGAAATATATATAAAAGCAATGAAAAACTCATCAAACCTGGCTTTAAGTATATTAGACCTATTTTTTAAAACTAGATAAAAATTACACATAATTCTATAATTCCTGTCAACAGTAAAAATGCAACATAACTTAACATTCACTGTTATTGAATAGTGTTTCTAAGCTTAATGACAATTTGATGCATCTAAAAGTTATAAATACAACTACTTAATGCTTCACCTCAATTAGCTACACTACACTCTTGCTGTTAGTCAGTCTTAGTTACAGGGTAACAGTTTTAATACTAATACTGTTATTGTTACAACAAAGTCACAAGTTATATCTAACTTCTAAGTACACAACCCAAATTTGCTTATTTTTTGCCTTCATGTACAATATTTATAAATCCGATTTAACTTGCTGAGATCAAACATAGTACTAGTATTACTACTAAACAAGACTCCTAGTTATATTTCACAAAAATTAATACAAAGCTTTTTGCGTTGGTATATAAGTGGTTACAGCTCTATTTACCATTAGTAGTATTATTAGTAATAACAGTTTGAGGACATTGTTTGACAGTGTTGTATTACACATTTACATCATAACCACAGCGCAGCACAAAACGTCATTTGTTCCCCGTAGTAAGAATTATCAACAAATTAAGAATACCTGCATAATTACGATATATATGAACATAATAGTAATATATAAATATATAAAGCACTATAATGTCATTACGTACCTTGTTGTTTATTGGCTATCTTGTTAAAACAGTTTTGAAAAACTTCGTATAAATGCAATGGTTCATCATCGTTTGTCGCCATGTTAGCTTAATGGTTTTATACCATTCAAGATTGTTTTAGTTAAAACCACAGGGTGTCAGCAGTGATACAAAATTTATCCTGTGTTCAAAGCTCTTGTCCTTCTCAGTTTAGAAATTTCAAGAGTTTTTCAAAACCACTAAAAAATATATGAAAAATACTGTTGCGTCATCGAGATCATGTGATTCTCACGCTCTCTACTATCTAGAATTATCCTGTACTTTGGCGAATGTTCTAGTGTTTGCTAGATGGGGTAGGCGGATATATATAAGAGGGGAAAACGTGACGCGGGAATTATTGTAATGTGTGTTTAGATAGTGAGTAATT